ATCAATAAGACTGTCGTATTATTCGTTGTTTAGATGTCATTGGATGTGTCGATGGATGCCTCATCCGAATCCAGGTCCCGTCCACTTTGGCAGCCACTACTACTGCCGAAAGGCATGTTCATACACTACCGCAATCAATATGATTGCGGTAGTGTATGCCAGGGCACGCTTCATGTACATCAACTACGGGTTCGCAGGGAGGCACCACTGTTCGTTTTTATGGCAGCACTCGCAGGCTGCCGCAGAGTTCGAGGAGCCCGGATGGCTCCCTATCGGGAGGGGGTTACAGAGAATGACGCCAGGAAGAGGCGATTCAATCAGCTCGCCAAAGCTCAACGAGTCTTCGAGCAGGCGCTTGGATCGCTGAAGCGGCGTTTCGCCATCCACCATAACACCACCCGCATCCAGCCTCCAAAGCTCCAGAAGTTCGTCAAGGCCTACGTCATTCTCCACAACATCGGAATCCACCTCGGGACCTACAAAGGGCAGTCGTTATCGGGACCACAAGGTTCCACATTTCCACATGACCCATCCGTCCGATAACGAAGAGGTGAGAAACTTTGTCGCAGACAGTCTGTGAGGTAACAATATTTCTACTTCTAATTTCTTCGGGAGATTTCGCCCCATTTCAGAACGAGATGAATTTCCATGTCGACATCAAGACAGACTTGCATATTGCTGTTGCGATTGTCCGGTGGGTTGTTGCAGAGCCACAGATAATTAATACGTTTCTTAGTTTTTTGAAAGAGAAAGGGTGGCTGACGCCGAAGATTTTCTCAAATCTCATTTTATCAGTCCTATAACAAAGGTGTTCCTTAAAAAGTTGTTGGTGGTTACTCGAGGTATTTTTTTCAGAGAGTTAATCATGAAAATTTTAGCTTAATAGAAAGAAGCAGCTTTTGCAAATAGTGCCAAAACGCTGAACTGGATTGAAGTTGTCTTTTCTTGTTATTTTACCGCCATCGTCATTACCACCTCTGTTCCAGCTCACTCATTTCGACAATGCGCATATGTCTATTCGTTTTTCGCTGTATTGGTATGTTTGAGGGCTTAGCTTTAAGTACGTAAACAACAGTGGCGGTCGAGGGGGGGGGGGGGATGGGCGCCCCCTCCCTCGAGGATGGGTCGCGAAATTTTGAAATTTACTTACTTGGTTTTGAAAATGTGCAAGTGACTTGTTCATTTATGTAAATGATTAAAATATTTTTTGAAATTTTTCAAAAATGCAAATTAGCCCTGTAAAAAAAATTTCCGGGGGCGTGGCTGGCGCCACTCTCCCTTTTTCTTGATTTTGTGGGGGTATTGGGGCCGCAAAAATTTCGAAAAGCCCCCTTCTCAAAAAAATTTTGGAGTGCATGGCTGACTCCATGCGCCTTCATTTGAAAAACATTTCTGCCCCCCCCCCTTCCCCGGTCCAAAATCCTGGGACCGCCACTGGTAAACAAGTATCTTTCAAAATTTAGGAGCATAGTTTAGCACAGTCCTTCCTAAAAGAAGTCTTATGGCTATGATTGATTGTTTGTCTACCGTTGACCTTTTTGTGTACGTTCAATTGCACAGTTAGATGGTAAACTCAAGGAGATACGTGCGCTAACCAGTCATGCAAGTTTAGTAATCACGATTGTTTTCCTACGACTTTTCATTTTCCTTGCATGTAAGCGGGTACTTAGTTACCTTTGCTTTTCTTCAAAAGAATGTCAGGTTCATTCCCCTCGTTCTAAATATGCTACATTCCAGGAGAAGTCAAGAAGTGGACATAAGCATACTTATGACTTTCGAACTTGCTGAACATATGACCCACAATACAAAATGACTGCAATGCTTTCATTTACACAAGGTTTGTCACGAAATTCGTATATTATTGTTAGTCTTTGTAGCGAGACTTCTTCTGTCAGTCAATGTAGACCACCCGATTGGTTTGTTTTGAATGACAATTTGAAAATTCAAAAACAGCTTGTTATGTAATGAAGTTTCTGACCTGTTTTCATGATACGCAGAGAAATGGATTGTGTGACATAATTTTACGTCCTTTTCTCTCAATTCTTTCACTGTCAGTGTCCAGTTACTGCCTGCTAGCGCCATGTTTCCATAAATCTCAGCTAACTAAGAAGCGAACATTACATCACGCTCAGTGAACTTTGGAAGACAAGGTGGATTCTACTATATAAGGCTGTGTGTGATCGTGTAGGTGATCTGCCATAGTTGCCGGCTTGTCGAGGTTGCAGGGGATGCCTGTTATAGAGCCATAATACCTAAATGCTATTGCATGACGAAGGCGCAGAAGCAGTATCAGCTGAGCGGGCGAGAACGCGACGCGCGCGTATCCTCGCCTGTAAGTCCTGCGCTCATGCGCTCTGCGGCTAACAAAGCCGCGTTCGCGCCCGACGAAATTGCGCCTTCGTCATGCAGCAGGTTATATGCAGAGAGGCTATATGAACGACCGGCGTAAAAAGACGTCTACTTGAGCACTCCCATTATAAAAGTCTCATCCACCCTTCACCCGGCACTTTTTCTAATGGACCCAAGGCAAAGTATATATTAGGTTGTCCCGAAAGTTTTGTCGGTTTTTTTCAAAACTCTATAAAACTACGCGCACTAAAGACCTGAATGAGTTTCAAAATGCATTCGATGCAGCTCTTCCTTCTCTTTCTTACGGGTACATTTTTGTGCAACAATCTTGTACGCTTCTTTTGATAATTGTTATAATTCTCCACCCGTCATTTTTATGTGCTCAGAGTTAGGCTAATTTTTAAAAATTTCATTTCAATGTTTCGGAGCTGGTTAAGTATAGCACAAATAGAACAATTTTAGGACTGTATTCTCCTATCTGCTGTTTTTAGCTTCAAAAAATTATTTCTTCGGAAGTCTCGATTTTTGGCAAAGTCATGAAACACGCAACTGCAGCAAAAACATGAAAGCTTTTATAATTTCTGCGAATTAAACTCGATTGCTAATAAACAATAATTATGCAACATAGCCAAGATAAATTTGCTTTGAAAATTCAACTTTTTGGAATTTTCGTTAACTTTACGTAATAGACGTAATCGAAAAGCCGAGGTTTTTCTTAAATAAATAATAATAACGGACTTTATAAATGTAGCTCTAAAATAAACACAATGTAGCCGGAGAGTTGCTCTATATAATAGTTGTTAGCGCTCTTCAAAAATAGCAAAAGAAAATTTTTTTAAATTCAGGAAAGATTTGGGGTTACTGTTGCACTGCTCAAAAAGCCATGGCGATAACATCGCAAAGAAAGAGTAAATCAAAGAGCAATTACAGCTATAAGAAAGAGGATAAAAACATGAATTAATTGATACCTAGACCGTCCATGGATTAGTATTCTGTGGGTTCTAGTGAGCGATGAAAAAAACCGACAAAACTTTCGGGACAACCTAATATTTTCTGAAAGCGGAGGAGAGGCGCTTCTAATGGTAACCATACCGGCGTACAATATATTCATCATCAGAAGTTATAAATTTTTTTATGTTAAAAAAACAAAAATCCCCAAAATTCACTAGGACATCCTTCACATAGGCACTTTTTTCAATGGACCCCAAACATATGTATATTTTCTGAAGCGGAGGACGAGACGGTTTCCAACGGCGACCATACCGGCGTATAAGATGTTCATCTACAGAAGCTACAGATTTTTCTATCTTGAAAACTCGTAAATATCCAAAAATCACTACCCACACTCTTCACCAGGCACTTTTTCAACAGTCTCCAGACAAGCTACATATTCCCTAAAAGCGGAAGACAAGACGGTTATAAAAACCTTTTCATTGCTGACGTTGCTGTTCATCTACAGAAGTTACGAATTTCTTCTTTTAAAAATTCGTAAATGCTTAAAAATTGTCTACCTCTTTCCCGAAACAGATGTTTTCGCATACACATCTTCTATGGTATTTTCAAAAACATAGGGTTGTTTCAATCCTATCAGTCTTCACATTTTGGTAAAAAGACAACCAATGATGGCAGAGAATATAAATGAAAAACTTTGATTTGGAAAATAAGAAAACACCATCACCTTCTCCCGTCTCTCCCGCCTCCCCCCCCCTCGGTCGGCATTTTATGATTTTTCGACGATCAACTGAAACACCCTTCACCCTGGAGGGGCTGCGACCACTGTGACCCCCATCACCCTGGAGGAGTCATTCTCACCTTATCGCACCTGTGACCGAGCCCACAATATTTTGCGCTGCCCAAACAAGGGACAGAGAAACATGTCGTTCAAGCGACGTAAGTTGGTCAAAACCACACAATTTTTGGTGCATCAAAATTCAATCAATAACATTCCACCATTACAGATGTGAATCAGTCTGCAAAACGTCGCCTTCAATTTATCCCTCAGCCCAAAGTCAATGCCGTCCACCTCCCAAAAACTCCTCCGTCGCTCTGCCGTTTCCAGCATGGTGTTTTGCCCCTTTGATTTTTGTTCTCCTTGTCTCCTTTCATTGGTTTCCCCCTTTTCCTTTTTTAATTTTATCCATACTCTACACTCGATCTTCATTCTTCAATAATGTATTTGATCTAACCGTTTATCGTTCCTCCTCGTTGCAATTGAACTCCTTATGACACATCGAGTTGCTGATTGTTTTGTTGCTTTATATTTTTACTTTAAAAGTGTTCTTTTCTTTCTCTTCCGCGTGAATGTCGTAGCCGACACGACCGCATGTTTTGTGATCTTGTTTGTATTTTGAATGCTTCTCTCAAACCGTGCGCATGTTGAAAACACAGTTTTTTTGTGTTTACCATTTCCACTGAACAAAGGAAGCTGCCAGCTGGCACTTTCCGAATACTTACTGTCTGGGCTACGCCCGCTTTTCTCTTTAGTGTTTGTTACAGTTTGCCGGAGAACTCGGCTTGGAAATAAAGTAGTTAATCCATCCGTGTTTAACCGAAGCACGCTAAATCAAAAACCACTGGGCTCCGCACAGCTTCAATTTAGAACCCCTGATAGCGGAAAATGTTGAGAAGTGAATGAGAACTAAGAACGCTCAATGCGTGAGCAGTGGCCGCAATCTCACAGACATTCAGGATCACGCCAGCCCTACAGACTCTTTGAAATGATAGCGGAAAGACAACTCAAATGTCGTGAAAGTGGTATGAGGTCATTCGCTCAGTATCTTATCTCTTAGTAAACGAGATTGGCTCCTAGTAAATATCGGTATTCACTATTTAGACCAACATTCTTGCTTCCTGGCTTCATCAGTCAATTCGAACTGCATGACTCCACGTCTAGACGGCGAAGGCTGGAGGCGATGTCATCTAAGGGGACAAAATTATCGAGCTGACGTGAGTTCCAAACAAAAATCTCTTAAATCCATATCAATGAATTTCAGAATATATTAAGTAATCTAAGGAGGCGAGTTATGCGGTTTTTGTATACATGGAGTGTTACTTCTATGCCTTGTGCGCTAGGGGCAAGTTATGCGGTTTTTACAAGAAGTAAGATCTTTCATTATCCTTCTTTTCTCCTTTGTTTTATTTATGGTAACTTTCCACCTATTTGGGGTTAAATATGTAATGTTTTAGAGGGCATAAGAGCTATTTTCAAATTTGCCTTCTATGTTTGCAGAACAACTTTGGGGAGGACTTATTCACTAAAGTAAGTATTCAACGCGTGGGAAGATCCGTCGTAATTTTTTACCGGTTGCATAGGGGGGGGGAATGATATCTGTGAGGGGATTCTATGCAATAGAGATTCTTAATTCATACATACTTTAATAATATAAATATACAGGGTGTCCGTAAAAAATGTGCCTACTGTTTGATTGTGGATAACTCTCTTCTAACGAAGTCTTTCGAGAAGCTTTAGGCACCATTATGTAGAGCGAGGTTCAACTTAGATTTGCAGTATAAAGCGAATCACCGAGCTCTTTTTATTACTGTAGGATTACGGTAGAAACTTCGACAAGGATTTTAGGTCTTTGGAGGCCATAATCTGCCTCGGAACATAACCAAACAAGCCGGAAATTCTTACACTATGGTAATGGAAGCCGCTCTTTTCGAATATGAAATTTCCACTTTACTGTGGTGCCTCTTTCCTAAGTTACCCCAGGTGAACCGTAATAATTGAATTTCCAGCATTTTTCAGAAATGTGATTACACCGTCAAAAAAGCTGAAAACACCCGTAAAAAGTTATGTAGTGGAATCAGCGTGCGCGAAACCCTAGTACACGATTTTTCAGATTTTTTGAAAAAAATTCTGTCAGGCGGCATATTTCACGATGGTTCCATATGCTAAAAGTTCCTACCGTATTCCTACAGTAATAAAACGAGCTCGGTGATTCGCTCTATACTGCAAATCTAAGTTGAACCTCGCTCTACAAAATGGTGCCTAAAGCTTCTCGAAAGACTTCGTTAGAAGAGAGCTATTCACAATCAAACAGTAGGCACATTTTTTACGGACACCCTGTATATTCGTCGCACTTACCGCTGCCTCATTTGAGCTAGGAGAACTTCAACGAGTGTTAGCGTTTGCAATAGCGTATTCAAATTTACGCTTTCACAAACCATTCACCCCCCTTCCCCTCCCCGACTACTCGTCCAAAAAGGTCTCGTAGATAAGGAAAGCAAGCCTGGAATCAGTAAATATGCTTTTTATGTTAGTATACATCTATACATCAGTAATCGAATAAAAGTATGTTGTACCTTTTCTAGTTTCCTCACATCTTTCTTACAGTAATGTGTAAGAGTTTCAAAACCGATGATTTTGGATTTTTTGAGTGTATGTTCCGAAAAATGGCATACAGTACAGTATGCCCTTTTCTTACTATACGGTGAAATCAATAAGAATTCCGAAATCTTTGAATGAAGTGCTCCTCTTAAAGTTATGCCGTCAATTTCATATTTTGATGCTGTAACAGTTTCAATGTGCATAACGCAACATTTGTCCAGGTTGAGAGGAGTATCTCAATTTACCGACCAATCATGCATTATTCTGACAGAACTTCTGAGGGCTGACTGAATTTCCAAGAAATTATTAGAATTGTAGGAACCGTAAAATTTTATATCGTCAGCATATATCTGTACTTTGACTGAAAATGAGGTTTTCAATATCTTAGGTAGGTCAAAAGTGTACAAGAGGAATAGCGAAGGCGAGAGCACACCACCCTGTGGGACTCCGCTTTTGCATGCATACTTTGCAGGATAACTATGGCCAATTCTGACAGTCATATGTCTGTTTTGATAGGAATTTAGTCAAGCTAGCAGAGTACCAGAAATTCCAAGTCTTTCAAGGTTTTTTTATGAGTTTCTCATGAGAAACTTTGTCAAAAGCCTTTGAAAGATCAAAAATTATTTCTAAAAATTTTTTGTGGTTGATAGCTAAGGTCCAGTCAAAAATACTATCTAACAGGTTAGTGGCAGTACATGCTCCCTCAAGAAAGTCATGATGCTCTATGGGTATAAGATTTGCTTTAAAAAGCCATGATGTAAACATATCTCTTAGGATCTTCTCCATAACCTTGACAGATGTGCAGGTTATGCTGATTGGGCGGAAGTGCGATACAAGAATTGGGTTTGAATTTTTTTGGGATTGCTGTTATCAAACCTTCTTTCCATAATCCAGGCAGCTTGCCAAACATTATGGAAATGTTAAAAATGTGTGTCAAGGGTTTGGAGAGTGCACCAGCACATTCTTTATAAAAAATATGAGGTATACCATCGTATGGTTCTGAGAATGATGACTTTAACCTCTTTAGAATCGTGAGGGTGTCATTAGTAGTGAAGTAGAATTTATGTAGTGGGCGATTTGTGGATAATTCGTTCCTTGGTTGGCATTCGTGTTGTTGGGGTTATGAGTAAAAACACTAGCAAAGTATTTAGCTAGGGCATTAGCTGTGTCAGCATCACAACAGTAAGCGTTTCCATAAGTATCTTTTATTACTGGTAGACGAGGACATGCTTCAGTTTTCTGTTGATGTGATAGAAAAGATACTTCGACGACTCTTTGGAAAGCAATCTACGTTCACGATTAGCAAGAAAACTTCTTCAAATGTAGACTGAGATTTGAGGAAACTTTTTTATAGACAACATTATCTTTGAGATGAGTTAGATGCATGAAAAGGCGATTTTTGTTCAAGTAAATTTTGAGTTTGCTTAGGATATCGTATTTTGGTATATGAGGGAATTCGAAAAGGTACATACCTGCATAGAGCTTCATAGAAGTCGGGAATCTTTAATAAACATCATAAACTGATAAATACTGGTCGAAGACATGCAGCCAATCAACGCTAAGAAGATATGCATTGAGAGAAACAAAATCAGTTTTAAGGAAATCAGGTATAGGAATGAGTGACGAAGAACATTGTGTTTCTTCCAATTCAAAGCAAGGGGGGCTAGTATTTGTGCATTCGTTATAATAGGTGAACTAGAAAGGATTAGATCAAGAATATGACCGGCATGGGTTGCTCTATCTTCATATTAACGTAAATCTAATTGATTAAATAAGCAAAAGATCTAGCAGATTATCCATCATGAGGCTTATTATTGTTCCAGTCAATATGTAGATCAAAATGACCCAACAGTACAGTATCAGAATTTATACCGGTTAGATCTTTCAAAGTTGCAAAAAGCAGTTATCGTCAGCTATCTGACAGTTGGGATGCAGAGTTTGTGACTCGAATATAGGTCAACACATAAAACATTAGCTTTCATGTTTTCATTAATAATGACTCTTTGGAGTACTGATGAATCGTATGCCAACTGCAAAAATGCACACTCCAACTCTTTCACAAGTATTTCTGTCAAAACGAAAAACTGTGTACGGCGTGTCTGCTAGAATTTCGCCATCAAAAATCTTACTCGTAGCCATGCTTTAGTGATGAAGACAATGTCTGGTTTAAGTTCTGCTAAAATACAATGGAGGTGGTGCAATTTGTTGACTAAGCTTTTGATCAGCAACGCCTTAATACTGTTCATCGCGTCGTGCTAACTTAGAATTTTACCGACCTTTTGATGGGCAGATCATCGACATGCGTTAGTTTTCCGCGATAGACGACCCATTTTTTTTAGTTTGCCATTATTCCGTTCTTGCGCAGCTTGTCTCAATTCATATTCATTCTGAAGCACTTCTCTAGTCATGCTTTTTCTGATAAACACATTTGTCATTCCAGCGTGACGAAGTAGATGAGCATTCCTTAGAGCTAGTTTCCAGCGATAGGTCGACGGCAGTACTAGCTTCACGAGTCTGGGACGAGTGAACTGGGGTTGCCAACCCATTAGATTTCGTTGAGAGAAAAATCAACATCTAAAACATCTAATACATTGTCAATCTTCTTTTTAAGGTACCCTCGCCTTCCAATGCTCTCATTGAAGGTGATGGTTCTTCAATACCGATATTATCAAACTCGTGAGCGTTTGTCTGCTTCTAAAGCATCCGATATGTTCGTTTTTCTGCGAGGACAGCTAGCATTCAAGCTATGACTGGGTTCTTATTGATTTTAGAAATTGAAGAAATGAGTTCAGCAGCTGACATTTTGCTCAGATCTTCTTTCACAATACTGGAAAACATCTGACTTTCTTCAACACTTACTTCACGATGGATCTTCATGGGTGTTAGTTACTTCTCCTTCACATATTCTCTGCATCTTTGGTTTCATTGCAGCCGCAGTTGCTCAATCTAGGCACGAGTAAACTTCACGCGATCTCAGCGCACGATTTGCACGCAATCTGCCAACAGCCAGATTTTTTCAATACTAATACTTGCGGACTGCATATAAGGTGCATAATTTACACGAATGATTAAACCTTCTAATTTATGAACACACATAATGCCAAAGATTTAGTTAATTGAAGTGCCAAAACGGGTAACGGAAATCGCTTGAAGTACGCCCGTGCAAATAGTAAATGACAATCAAAGAAGAGAGTAGGTGCTGTGAAGACACACTTGAAAATGATATACCTGATACCTGAAAATGCCACGTGTGAGGTGTTTAAACCTTGTTCAGACTTTGAACATGATCAGCACGTTTCAACAAATATCAGAAAAGGATTCTGAGAGCAATATTACAGCTTAGAAAACGCTATAGGCATTTGGAATACCAATTTAGTGAAAACCCGATGCGCTTTTAGAGTCCCGCATCGGAGAGGGTATAAATATGGTATTGAGGTGCACGAGTACAGTAAAGAGATACATTCGCTATAAACGGCAGAAACAACAGTTCTGAATTTGTTGCCATGAAGATCTCATCAGCTAACGCAAGATCGATTCTCAATTAGATGAATATTTAAAGTGTATACGCGCATTCGTAACGTTTATGCAAGCTTCGTTTCTTGCAGTATAAGTCAGGAATGGGACTTTGACGCATTCGTCATGATTCTGAAACCAGTGCATAACAGATAGGAATTATCGAATTTAATAGCGAGATGCAAAGCTTGCAAGTCAAATCTCCATCAAATATCATGAAAAAAGGAGTGGGTCCTCTTTTCT